CTGCTGAATGCTTTAAAATAGGAAGTTCCTCCATTTCTCTAGAATAAATATATATAAGATGCAAGCTAATATAGCCAAAACAAACCCTTTGAGGGTAAAATGCATTTAAAAGCCTCTGGTGTCCTCTGCTGGTATTTTGTTCACTACAAAATATCTTTCAGTCACTAAGATATGATATTTCTTGTTAGATAGAATAGATGAACTTCTATCCAGATTGAGAAGGTGTCTTTCTAAACTTGATAGTTACTTTAGATATGAATCATACTTAAGGTACAGAAAAGGAGGGAAGTATTCAGTATGCTCCACTTTTTAGTACATATTTAAGCAGTGAATAATTTTGCCCAGCTACATAAAACAATCACTGGTCAGTGATTAAATGGCTGAGAGAGAAAAATAATATCTAAAAGGTGTGGCTGCGGCTGTTTTCATGCATGTGCTTTCCATTTCAGTTTCAGCCTAAGATGTGGTCTTTTAAAATACAGTATAAAGAAACAGCATAATTTCCAAGCTCTAAGGAACCTAGGGAAACATGAGAATATTAGAATTATGTAGCTCAATATTAACTTTTACTTTTTGAAAAATATACTCCAGTGGGGGTCAGCAAAATTTTGTACAATGTTTGGGTCTTCATAAAATAGGTAAATTCCAATGGCCTTCTGTATTCATGTTTCTTTTAACTCTATCTTAGGTTGCTCTAGTAGCAATAAATATAATTGGGGAACCTGCCGACTCTACTAATGACAATAATAATGTAAGTACTTAAAGCATAGAAGGTTTCCTGTCAAATTCTAAATTTTCTTTTTAAAGTTCCTATACATATACTTAATTATGAGTCAAGATAATCAAGGATGAATTTCTTTTGATCTTTTTGGTTACAATTGCTTTGCTTTAGCTTACTTGCTAGGTATTTTTATGTGACTGACAAGGAGGAAACTCTCTTAGAAATATGTCTGATCATGAAAATAATAACTCAAAATGGCCTCACTGAAGAAGTAATATTTATGTTCTCAGTATTTTAAACACAGTCAATATGCAAGTGACAGGGTAGTTCTGTATTGTCTTTTGTGTGAAGATTGTCCCCCTTTTGGGTTTGGTTTTATTAATAAACAAAGCAACAGAGGTACCAAAGTTCATCTCCAGCCTTGTCCCAAGGCATAGGAGCCTTCCTCACTGGGCTGTTCAGCATGTATGTTGTTTCTTTTTTCCCAAGAGATTCACCCTTCTTTTCCTTATCTAGGTGGCTGATGAAAGAGCAGGCTATGCTAACACTTTCTCTGTAAGCTCAACACCTAACAGGGTGGAGTTTGTCAGACAAGTACTGTCATTCTGTTACACAGTCATTGTGTGTGTTCAGGATGTTCTAAACCTTGGCTTTCAAATTTACTGCGTTATTGGCATGTTCATGAATACAATAGTTTTACCAAGGTTAATGTGATTGTTGTGCTGAACAGAAGTTTTGAGGGATGTAGAAAGAACTAACAAAAAATTAACCTACAACAGTGTTTAGATTATGTTAATCATGCTCAGTTACTTAACTGTAAGTGTAGAGATGTGTAATGAGAAGCATGAAAATATGTATTCGTTTTTAAGTATTTGAACCCATTTCTGTCCTGTACACAAAGAAATCTTGGTGACCTTACTTTAATCCTTTCTTCTAAAGCCTTCAAGAGAGAAGCTGATTGACCATTATCTTGGGAGCAATTCAGAAGACCCAGCCTTAGATGGAACATACATTGGGTAAGGATGCTATTACATGCACACTTTTTTTTTTTTTTTTAAAGTAGATCCCTTGACTGAAGGACACCTGTACCTTCCTTTCGAAAAGAAAACTTGCTTATCAGTCTTAGGAGCTATTTCACCCAAGGGAACAGAACACTTGATAATCCTTAATGCAGTACATGGCAATGAAAACAATAAGCCATACTGAAATCTATAGGTCTGCATGTATCTTGAAGATGCTATATGACCTAGACTTCAACTCAAAGGAAAAGGGAAAATTGAAGTTTGCTTAAATATGGTTGAGAACCAGCCCTTGAAAAAAATTTCGGAGGATCTTTCAGTAGAAGTTTGTATTTGAAAAGAAAACATAAAGCAATTTGAATGTGAGGGCCAATGTAGAGTAAGTTGGATGCACAGACTAGATAAGAATTTGGGGAGGGGGGAATAAGCAAAAGAGAAGGCAGGTGATAGAGTTGGTACTTGAGACTTGACTCTAAAAATGTCTGATATCTTCTCTCCAGGAAACCTGACTCTATTTCACCACTAGATGACTTGGCTTTTGATATGTACCAGGATCCAGAAGTTGCTCAAATAATTCGTAAACTGGATGAGAAGAAGCAAGAAGCTGTCCGTCACGAACGCTATGACTATGCCAAGAAGCTCAAACAAGCTATTGCTGACTTGCAGAAGGTATCGTATGATGTTCATTTGATTGATTGATTGTTCAGTCATAACCCTGTGAGTTTCCCAGTTGTCCATAGTTCTCTGTAATATTTGTAGAAAAAGGGTTTCTAATGAGTGAGTCACCAGAAACTAAGTTGAGAGGCCTGGCCAGAAAAAAGTTGTCTTTCTGCATTCAAAAGAATGTGGTTCCCAGTTAAGTAGTTGACATGAACGTAATGTCTTTCAGGTTGGTGAGCGACTCGGGAGGTATGAAGTGGAAAAACGCTGCGCTGTGGAGAAAGAGGATTATGATCTTGCTAAAAAAAAGAAACAGCAGATGGAAGAGTACCGCCTGAAGGTGTATCAGCAACTGGAGCTCCACAACCTTATGGATCCAGAGCTGATGGTAGGCTGCTATGACTCAAGGCCTTATCAAGTGGGTATTATAAAATGGGGATAGTTGAGCAGTCAGAACACATTCCAGACGTAGGACTTGTTAGGTGCTATTAAACATTTAACACAGAGGCTTTCATATCTTATTTCTTTTTTTTTTATTTGCCCTGTAATTTTTGCTTCAGATGGAGACCTTGTCATAGATGCAATCATAATGTCATATGTTCTTTATATATAAAAGTGGTAATATCTAGGCAGTTACACTGGATATCTGTTAGGCTTGGCTAATTTACAGGCCTTGCAACATAAATGAATCCGTTTGTAAGGGAAATGGAGATCAGTAAAACTTCTTGTAGAGATACCTAAATCAACCCACGGAATGGGTGTCTCTTGTACTTCTAGATATCCCTTGTTGCTGATCTACATGCGTAAGGGCTTCTGGTGGCCTCACTTCAAACTAGAGGAGTTCAAGAGCAACATTACCCAAATACCAGGATATATTTCATAGTAGCATGTAGCACACACAGAAAACATTATTTTTTTTAATAGGTGAAACTACTTCTGATTTGTTCTCTTCCCTTAGGTTGTATTGCCAGTAGGCCATATGCTACAATTAGAGAAATGATTGCTAAACAAACTTTTGTGAGCTGGTGGTATTTATTTGAATGCTGGATAAAGTTGTAGAGGCTCATGGGCTTACATTCTTTAATGACTGATTTTTGACTGACTGCACAGGTATCTTTTACAGAAATTGCTCTTTCTTTTCTCAGATCAGAAGGCCGCCTGAGTTGCCTCTTGAACCTGTGATTCACTCTGTTAGCCCTCGGCAAAAGAAATCCCCACATTCACCCCAAAATGAGAAAACGGAACCAGAGAACGTTGAGCCTTTGCCACAGGAAAAGCCAACAGAGCCAACTTCTCCTGAGCCTGTTGTTCCCCATCAGTCCCCTCCTCCTGTGGTCCAGCCCACAGCCTCAGTAGAGGGCTTTCCCAACATAAATGTGAGTAGTTTGCATCTTGGACTGTTGTACAAATAGCTTCTGACGGATTTGTGAGCATCCAAATTTTCCCTTCACCATATAATTGAATATCACTCAGCTGTCCCAGCCTAAGCCGGCTTTCATGCAATTTTTTCTTGACTACCAAAGAAGAGGCTTTGTATATTCGGTATCAGTGGCAACACGATACGTAGGGCTCCCGCCCCTGTTGCTGACTGACCACGGGGCGGGGGTCATGTGCCCCCCCCTGACTCGGGAGGTACCAGTAACCCATGTTCAGTATCCAGTTAGAAGCTAATTGTGTTTGATTTGGTTTCTGGGGGGGCATTGTTTCTTTAGTTTGCGTGTTTTGTGGGATTTTTTTTTTTTGTTATTTTGCTTAAGGTAGTGTCTTGTAAGAAGCTGAAAGAGCCAACTCCTGGTGCTGAACTCTCCTCATAATAGTAGTTAGTTCTTCTTTTGTGAACCCATTTGAAAGCCTTTACAAATATTCCTCAGTACAGCAGTTATCAAGGGGTATGTTGCACATAAATTCAGGGGAGCTGAAACCTAGGATTGAAGCGTCTTGTGGAAGGTCACACAGATTCCATGGCAAAGCAAGGGACATCATTCATCTAGTCCAGGCTTGTCCAACATATGGCCTGCGGGCTGCCATGTGGCCTGCCAAGCCATTTTATCCGGCTAGAGGCAGTAGCGGCCGTGCTGCTGCCGCTGCGGAGCCTGGAGCCGCAACAGCAGAGTGCAGAGCTACGGCCGCTGCAGCAAAGCAGGCAGGGCTGGCCTGTGGGCCCTAGCCAGCAGCAAGGGGAGGGGAGCTGGTTACCCCCGCGGGGCCCAGGGGAGCAGCCCTGCGCAGGAGGCCAAGCAGCAGCTGCTGGCACTGACGGCCCGCGCCTGCCTCTTCACCCACCCGCTTCAAGCAAGCCGTGCTGCCCTACCCCACAGCAAGGCAGCGCCCGCTTCCCCAGCCAGTCTCCCCCTGGGCGCTGCAGCTCTCCGGGCCTGGCTGCCTGCACGCGAGGCCCCAAGGGGGCCGCTTCTCATGTGCTGCTGGGGATGGGAGGAGCCCGGCCGGGTCTGTACCGGCCAGCAGAAGCGGTGGCAGAGCCATGTGCTGCTCGGGACCGGACGAGCCTGCACCAGTTAGTCCTGAGTGGCACACGGCTCTGCCGGCTGGGGCAGACGTGGCCAGCCTCCTCCCACCCCCAGCAGCACCTGGGAAGGCGGGGGGAAGCCGGCTTCAGCTGCATGCTGCTTTTCCTGGCTGGTGCTGACCCGGTTCTGCCCAGGCGGGTCCTGCAGCGCCATGTCAACCCGGGCATGGCACCAGCAGGCTAGGCGGGCCCCAGGTTAACCCCGGCCTGGCCCTGCAGCTTCTCCAGCACCAGGTCAACCTGGTTGTAGCCAAGCAGTTCCTGCAGCACCGTGTCAACCCGGGCATGTATGCCATGTCAGCCAGCACCATGTCAACCCCTGCAACTTCATTGGTGTCATAGGTCACGTGACATCACTTCCTGATATGATACCACTTCCTGTGACATCTTTTGAATATGGCTCACCGGCCCACTGGATGATAAAGTTTGTGATCCAGCCCCACGTTCAAAAAGGTTGGACACCCCTGATCTAGTCTCTCTATGCCTTGTTAACTCACACTTCTTTTTTCAAGGAATCCTAAGGCACCTCTACATGAGCAGTGCATTGGAACAGACTCGATTAATCGAGCCTGCTGGAGCGTGGTAATTACTGCACTCCAGCAGCCTCCAGCGTCTCATGCATCAGCATCCCTGTGCTCAGATAAAGCACCCCTGCTGCCATTTTTAAAGCTCATTCAGTGAGCTTTAGATAAAGCACCCCTGCTTTTTAAGCACAGGGATGCTGAGACAGAAGACACTCTGGGCACTTTAATTAGGAGTGCCCCCACACCCAGAGTACGTTTATAAACACCCCTCTTGTCTAAGCCTCAGCTCATTCTAACCAGCCTCTTTCTGTTCTCTTGGCACTGAGATGATGAGGAGTTTGGCAGTGGCTTGAGATCATGTGTGCTAGGAATGGAGAAGCAACTAATCGATCAATCATGCTAGTGCAGGGACAGGCAGAGTCTGGCCCATGGGCTAGATTGGGTCTGCGGCGGACTCCATTTCCCAATAGCCCCGTCCAGATCGCTGCATCCGGTTTCCATGGAGATTCCAGTAGCGGTAGGGCCAGGGTTTCCATGGAGACTGGCCCCAGCAGCACCGTCAAGGGGCACAGCTAGGCATGGAGCTGCTCCATTGCCGGGATCTTGTGGCAGTGACAGCGTGGTCCAGAGCCAGGGCAGAACGGTGATCCACTGCCCACACGGCCCAGTCGAGGGCATGCAGGCAGCAGATTGTGGCTCTGCCCCGGTTCCAAACCACACTGTTGCCGCCACCTGATTTCAGTCCTAGCCCCAGAGCAGTTCTCCACCCAGCCATGCGCCCTACCAGTCTCCATGGAAATCTTGGCCCCATGTTGTCACGGCCTCACTGCTGCTGGGGTCTCCCTGAAAACTGGGTGCAGTGATGCAAGCAGGGGCTGCTAGGAAATGGAGTCTGGCCACCAGTAGGATCCACCATTTTGCCCACCCCTGTGCTAGTGCCACACATGGGACAGATGCACTAACAGGCTAGCCCATATTAAATTGAAGCCCATGGAAATTCTTCTCTTGAATCCAGTAGGAGGTGGACCCTGAAGCATTAACACTGCAAAGCTGTGTATTACTTGAGTTCCCTCCTAGTCCTTACATGTAGAGAGTGGCTAGATGTGGACTTTTATGAAAAGGAATGAGCTTTGTTTCTCACCTGTTTACTGCAAGGAAATATGTTCTTTATACTAACTGCTCCATTCTGAAAGTATTGACCCATGGTCACAGAATGGAGACAAAAAGAAAATTTTCAGAGGTGCATTTAAAAGACACAAGATGTAGCTTTGGATAAAAGGTTGGACTGATTACACTGTAAAGAATCTAAGCATGTACAGAACAGCTTTAGATTCAAGTTGATTTTGGAATTATCTCTTATGTTTTCTATTAGGTAGAATTTTTACCTTATGATGAGAGGCCTCTTCCAGCTATTCGTAAACAACATGAGGAAGCATTTGCCTACCTTGAGCCAGAAATGAATGAAGAGTATATTGATGATACTCCAAGAAGTGGCATCACTGGGGAGCCTGAACCATTAACAGAAAAAGCACTAAGGGAGGCCAGCCCTGCCATTGAAGTTTTTGGAGAGGCTTTGGTAAACCCCCAAAAGCTAAAATGCTGTAGTTGTGTAGTTGAGAACTAGAGTTGGTTTATAAATCATTTTGGTGTGGGGAGCAGGGAATGGCTGAAATTTAATTTGTGGATGTGGGAGTTATAAATCCATAATGTAAAAGTTTGAAACCATTTATTTCACTTCCTAACTTTTTATTGCTATTTTAATTGATTTATATATATATTCTGAGAGAATGATTTGGATCTGGAGAAAATTAAATAGATTTGTTCTC